TAAAGGAATGGGTCACATGCCCACAACTATACAGCTCCTAGAGTTGTGTAGTGTGACCCGGAGGGAACATCCAGGTGGCAGTGCCCAGTAAGCGTGGGAACGTTCTGGGCGAGTTGCTCGCCCAGAACTGTGGCTGTGACCCGTGGGAACATTCTGGGCGAGCTGCTCGCTCAGAAAGTTCCCACGCTATCCCGTGCGCGCGCGTGTACACAACACACAAAGGCAACAACAAGGCAACAGTCAAAGAATAAAAGGGGGTAAAGTAGGTGGGGAGTCTGGGGCACCCTAAGGCAGGGTGCTGAACCCTGACACCAGTTGAGTCTGGTGCTGATACTCTCTACCAAACTATACAGCAGGTCCCGGAAGAGTCCAATCAGATAAGGAAAGAACATCACATGACAATAAGAAAATGGAAACATCGGGCTCTAGACACCGGATATGGAATCAGAAAAATAAGGAAAAATAAGGAGTGTGTATGAGAAGTGGGTGAGAGTGTGTGCTATGCGTCTAGGATTGGGGAGCTTGTTGAGCATGGTAGAATCACGGGATTTGGCTCGTTTATGGTACACTGGCAAATCCCCGTTACAGCACCAGATCACGAAGATCCCACAACGAATCAGGCCTACCAGATCAATAGATCTCATCCTTAAGATGATCAGGCAACCCATCCTAAAATAGAGACTGAAGCGTGCCTTCACTGTATCCGTGTAACTGTGAAGTGTGGCGGTTGAACTCAACAATATACTTGCTGATCCTTTGGTTGTCCTTCATAACTAAGGTTTTGAGTCGATGCTCCGTGTTGCAGGCAGGGTTGTGTGAACCAAAGTTCTTGCAGAGTTCCTCAATGAAACATTCCCAGTCATCCTCCCAGGGAGGTGCTCGACCACCAGGCATGTGTAAGAGATCGGGTTCAAACCAATTGAGCACAGAGCCCATTAGGAATAACTGAGTGTAGATAACCTTCTTACGGTCAGAGCTAAATGCCTGGCTTGCGCACCTTCATGCGATAATTGTTGATCGGGGCAGGTGGCGGAGGTGGCGGCTGATGAGGGACGTTGGACTGGGCAAGAGCCACAATGGCTCGAGTTAACTGAATCAGGATGCTTGCCTTGTCTTGCATGTTAGCAGGATCATCAGGATCAGGGTCATTACCAATAGGACCATCAGGAGGTGGAACAACTGGGTCGACTGGTGGTGGTGGCCTTGACAAAGATGGCAAAGGACAAGGTGCGGAAGGTTCAGGGACTGTGGTGGCATTGACATCACCTTCCACTTCAGCCTCGGATTGGGACCTTGGTACAACAGGCATTGTAGGCAGGCAAAGCCGGTACTGCACAAATGAACCGAATATCGCGATTTTCCCATCCCAGCACATCCCCACTTCACAAAACACATCACACATGTCCTCATATACCATTCCTAACCTTCCATGATTTTCCCCCATTTTTCCAGACACATTCCCAGTCCCCACAGACCAAATTCCCACGCCCACCCAGCAGCGCGGCCACACTCAGACTGGATTTCACTTATCTCAGCAACCACTGCACCGATTTGGACGATATTGGTACCATTGAAAATGCGCAATTTAGGAGTATTAGGATCCGTGATTAGCGGGAGTTCATTGGTGATGGATAGAGTTGGATATTTTTTGGCTGGAAATCATTTATTGCTTTATTGTTTTCTTGATTATTGTTTTCCCTCTCATTTTCCGATATTGATTGTTGCCCATATGGTCCACCTAAGCACATGGGACTCATCGGATATTTTTTATCATTTTTATTTGATCATTTCTCATATATACCTGCACATGAGGATGTATCTACCTTTTCCTTTGGATTAGAAACCACCGAGTTTGCCCCTCCCAAGCTAGTAGGGAGTAGTATGACATAGAAGACGACCAAGAAGCCTCTAGATTAGTCCTTGCCTTAGTGTCACCCAGAGAGGTGGGGTAAGAGATTGATTAGAGTACACCACGCACCGTAACACACCGGACCATTACCATTTCCATCCCCTCTTTTCCCTGACCTGTTGGATACCAATCCAGTCCCTGTCCTTTCCTGTTTGCCTGCTGGGCTAGATCCCTAGCCTGCTTACAGCATCGACAATCATTGGCCTCCACGGTCAGCTGTGAAGCTAGCAAAGGGTGTGTCGATGTCAAGGTTGTAGTTGTCAAGAATCCCGAGACCAGATTGGTGTTGCTGTGTGGAGGTGGATGGTTTTCAGGTCTGCGAACGAGTTACATAGTGTCTAGAAGCCATTTGGAATGCACAGTGAGTTTGAATATACTGTCAGAAATGGTATTCGAGGTGATTGCGGGAAGTGGAGCAGAGTGCAGCGGCATGAGTGGTCACTTAGCTAATGTGCAGCTCCATTGCAAGGTGTCTTGGGAGATGGGACTTCGGCTTCAATGACTCAGCTGGAGCATTGCGCCACGTGTTCTAGGCTGTCCCATATTTCAGGGTAGCAGGAGGACCTTGCGGCGATGTTACTCAGGTGGAGATGAAACTTAGAGTTGAACTTGGAGGTGAGAAGACTTGGGGGGATTTCTAGTTGATATTCGAACTGAGGCACATTGACAGTAAACTACAAGTATAAGTACGAAAGGAGAACAGAGAAGGGGCCGGTTGGTCCGGCATGGGACAGGAGCGGAATGGTAAGTGCGACAAAACTAAAAGAGCGATGAGGACTGGGGAAATGGAACAGAAGGAATGAATGGGAGTGAAGAGTGAATGGACAAAGGATGGTGAAGTTGGGAGGCAGACTGAATAGGGCCGACAATCTAGATGCCAATATAGTGGCAGATCAAATGTCAATATAGGAATAAACCAAATGTCAATGTAGGAGTGGATCAGCAGTGACAATATCAACTGCTAGTAAGTTAAGCAAATGAAATAAGAATAGAACAGTATACTCAGCCATAAGTGAATTGGGTGTGGCCAAATGGCTGAGGAACTAAAGTGGTGGCAGGAAAGGAGGAGGTGCCGCTATGGGGCCGTAGATGGGAACCACTATTGGCGCCAGTGCATGATGGACAATGGTGTGAATAATGGGTGCAAGAATGGTGGTGGGGTGCAGGTGATAGAAGTGGTAAAGGCAGGGACTTTGCAGGGTTGTGACAGAGATAGGGGAAATTGTAAGGACTGGCAATGTGTATCCATACATTGTCTGTCCTTCTCTTAGTTTGCCCCAAGCACGACTATAGTTGTGCTGCAGTATATTACCACCCTTGTATTATATTACATCATGTAACTACACATATATAAGATGTGTGGGTAGGAGGAAAGGCAACTTAGCCTTTACTCCCCCGTTAACAATACAGCATATTAAACAAGGGGTCATCAACACAGAAATTCTATACCCAATGTACCATTTCAGGTTTTAGAGGGTATGAGTGGAGACATACATACTAAGTAATTCAATCGGTGATTGCCATACCTTGGCAATTGCTGCATTCCAGATTCCCACCCTCCCAAGCCCCCACCTGGCCTCAGCTTTGCCAACCACCTATTCCAGTGGCTGTCCAATGTGTTGTACCATGAAAGTTACCACAAGTAAATTGATGATGGCACTAATGTTGTTAGGTGTAATGGAATGGGCTGTGAGATGGTTTGAGTATATGCCTTTTACCATACCTTAATACTGTTGCTGTTTTCTGACAGACAAATTAATTCCATCAGGGTTTAGGGTCTTACATTCCACCAAACTGGACATGTGGTGCCCATTGAGAATCTTGCAACAGCAAATGAGCAAGGGAACAAGGCTAACTATTGGCATGGTGGGGGTTTTCAATTTATTTTCAATGATAATATACATTTTCAAATACATTTGAATTAAAATTTTTGACATGTGCAAAATAGGTTTAGTCCCTCTGACCCAGAGACTATCATACTAACATGGGGTTCAGCATTTCCTGAATGCCCCCCCCCCCTTGATATTAAAGCGTACTTGTGAGATGGACTGGGAGTGTGAGGTGTTCTTAACCACATGCTTACTGTCATATCCATCCACGGCCATTGACTTCCACTACCTCCGAACTCTCCAGACTACCTCCGCTCCTTCTTCACTAACCTTGGAGCTCCTGTATTCTGCAATCACCTCCGCTTCCCTTGATGGTCACCACCCCCTCTTTTCAATATATTACCTACACCTCCCTAAGTACGGAGCCCCGAAGGTTTCCAGACAGCTCTGACGTCTGCTAGCGCACTCCTGCCTCCGCTGGGTAATTCACTTGCTTGCCCTGCAAGTCCACCTTCAGGCCTATCCCTCCTTTCCGTTTCTGGGTTATCGCCTACCATTCCGCTAACCCCATAACCCGACTGGTTGGTAATATTCAATTGGCTAATGTTTAACTCCGTTAGCCCCACTCTGCTCAGCCCCGCCATTTACGGGCCTGCCCTCATTGTAACTATATATACTAAACTTGTACATAGGTTACACCCCAGTAATAAAATCGACTAGAGTTGACCCCCTTTAGTTCTCGTTGCCAGTAAGTTAAATTAGGGCACGGATGTGTAACTTGGCACAGTGCTCCTGGCATAAGTCGCTGAGGCCGAAGCCCTCTGCCACGGAGACATTCCTTCATCTCAATCTGGTCTCTGACACTTACACTGTTTTACACTTGGTAAGTGTCAGGGCACACCCCACCTGACCCTGCGCCGTGCTGCCCTACTCTGCTCCCCCCACTATCACTCCCCGTTTCTTCTTTTCCCTTTTCTTCTTTCTTTCTATTTCCATTCCACAGTCGACTTCCCCTTCTCTATGTATCACTACACACCTAACCCCACCCCCCCAATCACCGCACCCACCGTGTGCATTCCCGCTCACAGAGCAGCACACCTCCGGGATCCCCTGCGGAGATACCCAGGGAAGTGCAGCTGTGTGCGGAGATGACATGGCTCCCCCCACATGACCCCAACCGCATGTATATAATAGTGCTTGGGGTGGTGTGAGACCCTGGCCCATGTCTATATTCTGCCCACAACATCAGTTGATGTTGTGTTGTCTACTTGTGTGCACGCCAGAGGAGACGCAACGAGATAGCGTGGCAACAGTCCCGGCTAATGCCAGAACCTCTTGAATTTGAAGACGACCTGGCTAATATACAACAGGCAGGAGACTGGGGATGGAGGAGGGTAACACGAAAAACAAGGATAACGAGGAACAAGAGGGAGAAGAGCAGAGGTTACAAAGAGCAAGGAAACAACCGAAGGTAATGAAACCTAGGGAAAAACACTGAGTAAGCAATCGGGATCCCACCCACCGAGTAACCGAAGGTCACAACACCTTCCCCTCAGCGAGACCGAAAAGCTTACTGGAAACAAGAAGCCAAACAAAAAACTTCAACAAAAAACAGCTTGTAGGCCAAAGGGAATAAGACTTAAGAAATAAAAAACATCTTCAGCAGAGGTCAAGGTAAAGTGGGCTAGAGCCCAGTAGCTTAGGCGGACGAACAACACGTACAGAATTCGTCCGAAGAAATCGATCCAGGAATGCAGCGGCAGTTAACCTGAATCGGCATGACTGCAACCTTGGAAGGCACAGTATGCGTAAGGCCGACAGCGGGTACGGCGCATAAGATGAAACATCACTGGGGATTGTGCCAGATGCGGAAGAAAAACAGAGAGCGCGTTTTTAGACCAACCACACACAAGTCTAATTTAATCTCGTACCTCCATTAAATAACAACTTGTGTGCACGCTGGAGGAGATGCAACGAGATAGCGTGGCATCAGTCCTGGCTAATGCCAGAACCTCTTGAATTTGAAGACGACCTGGTAACCAGGTAGAAGAAAGGAGGTGGGGAGGGATGGTGGTGAAAAGAAAGGGGAGTAAAAGACAAAGAGGTTAAGAAGAATCTAACAGAGACGTAGCATTAGAATCCCGCACACACAAAAGCACTGGGTTCTTCCAAATGTAAGAGCGCCATGCCTCAGACAACCAGCGGCCGTGTCATATCCGTACATACCCGACCCCGACCCGACTTCCGGACCTCCACCCTCTTCACCTCCGGAGTCATAACCTACCGCTGCCGTTCCGATACTCACCTTCGGACCTGGCAACACACCTCCTCCTTACCTCCCCGACCCTATCTCCATCCGCTCCGATACTCATCTCGGACCGAACACCGCCCCTCTCGCCATCCTCCTACGCTTCCCCCGTCCGCTCCGATACTCACCTTCAGACCTGACTACTCTCCTTTCCGCCACTCCTTCTCCCTTACCATTCTCCTCCCTCTGTTACTCCTCCGCCACCCTTCCGCCAAGTTACGACCTTCCACCGCTGTTCCATACTTCGCACTCGGACACCGCTCGTACCTTACTCCGAGCCTCCGTCATAGTCCCTACCTCGGACTTTGACTCCACCTCGGTCTTAGTCCATTGCATTGGTGACCTCATACTACATAAACACCATTGCCAATATCCCTCGGACTTTCAACCCCGCCTCCGTAACCTCCGTAAGCTCCGCAACCCCCGAGCTTCGCAGATTGCCTTTGGCACTCTCGCCGCTTGTAATGTATTTCTCGCGTTTTCCCCTCATCCCTATTTGGACTACTGCTTCTTCCTATTCTAGCCAGTTAGTCATCATCCCCACTTCCCCTCATCCTCCTGCCCCTCTGGGCCTCGCCCTCCCTACCTCTTTTCGGACGTATCACAGGTCCTGCCTTATGACCTTCGGTACCGCTCTGCTCCCTCTACCCTTTGTTCCCTTTCGGACGTCTTCGTTCCGATTCGGTTACCCTTTGTTTTCCTTGTGCTTTTGCCCCTTCCATTATATATATCGGCGCTTGTACATACTCATTTTGGTTTAGTCCGAAATCGACCTGAAATGCCCCCTAGAGACTTCCTGCTCACCTACTGTGAAATTAAGGACCAAATGGACAAACAGCAATGGCACAGCGCTCCGCTTGAGTCGCTGAGGCCAAGGTCCCTCCACGCTAAGTCTCCAATTCCACTCCGGAGTCGTCTGTTTCCGCCCGTTCTAACAGGCCGAGTGCTTGGATTGTAGACTCAGGCACGTGTTGCGAAGCTAAGTGTGTAGCCCCTCCAGAACGGAAAGAATGACCTGAGAAATCCTTGGGAAGAACAGCATGCAGCTTCTGCAAGAACCAGGAGTGGGATGGTAAAGAGCCATCGCCACGAATCCAAAGATGAGGGAAAAAAGGAAAGAGTGCATCACAACTCTGAATGTATTGTTTGAAAAAATAGAGCAGGTCCAGCAGGAACAGTCGAGACTGGATGACTACGAGACTCCTGTGAAAACGAGGATCGGTCTTATGTGTAGGCAGTAAGAATTGGTATGTATTTATGGCGTCACGTCGAATAAACTCCACGGAGCGGCGTAGGGTAAGTTTCCAAAAGTTCAATTTCGAAGTATCGTCCGGGACTACTAACTCCCCAATTCGAAGAAGACCGTGGAAGGCGGTGAAGCTAATCGCCAAGAACAACTGATCGTCAAACTCCAACGAAATGGCGTAACGGTCCACTAGAAGATGGAGATGCTGTGATTCAATCGGTAACTTCCACCTGATTGGTTCCCCCATCTGTCCATTCTGCACCACGAAGGACCCCAACAACGAGCGGGTGCCTCCTGACGGCTCGAGCTCCCGGATAGAAAGGTTGGAGATGATGAACAATACCCGATAGGTATGAGATAATCGTGCAGATGGATATAGGATTACCGGACCTCCCGGTCTGCTTCGCCATGTAACAAATGAAAAAGCTGATCGTTTCGGGAGTTGGATCGATGTCACGGTTATGGATGTTACAAAAGGTGATGTACGAATTAATACCGGATTGATACGCTGATCTTGTCGACACATCCAGAGCATTTGACAAATAAATCGCTTGTTGACTACGAAGACGATCCATTGTCCACGGGGCACGCTTGGGCTGACGTGCCCTAACACTCAAGAGCGAATTCATTCCCAGAGGACCCCCAGCGATTCCCGCTGGGGTTTGAATAGAGCAATGTGGAGCCCAGGACGCAAACATCGGGCAGTATCGAAAAGTTGACGTGATAAAGCATCTGCGATGGTATTTTTGTCACCTTGAATGTGGACCACTCGCACACCTAATCCAAAGTCCATCATAGTCTCGACCACCTTGAAAAGCAATAACACATAGTTCGGTTGTGCCACCAAAGAGTGAAAGATATCCACGGTATTCATCAAATCTGTTCGTAAAAGGATTCGTCGCGGTTTATCAGGTAGGTGAGCAGCCCACTTGATCGCCGAGACTACTGCTAAAGCTTCGTTGAAAAAGGTGTCCCCAAATCGGAGATCCGACTCCTCGATCGATGCGACAAACGCTAGGTCCAGAGTGGGGGACCAAAAGGCCAGGCCAACATTCGAAGCATCGGTCAAGAAGACTAGATCTGCATCTTGTTCTTGCCATGAACGGGCACCCAAAAAGTTGACTCCCGGCGAACTCGCGATCCATTGGATAAACCAAGATAGATCCTGAACGACCGACTTATTCAGCCAAATAGGAGCCAAGGCCAGTTTTTTACCCCATATCTTAGCATACGAAGATTGAAGTGCAGGTCTTAGGAGGGGGTAAGTGTTTAGCACCCAGTTACAATAGCCTAACAGCCGCTGCCATTCTCGCAGTGGATGACAACGAAGTTTCCCAACCAGAAATGATTCCACATCTCCGATCAAAGACCTTCATTTATCGTCGGGCATCGAAATCATCATTGACTCAAGGCAAACATGGAGACCTATTATAGTAAGCTGTTTTCCGAATTCCTGTTTCCTCTTTTCATGCGGTATTCTGAGCTCATCGAAAAGTCTGAGTAGAGCGACCTGCTTCCTCGGGTACTGAGCGTCATAAGGAGCATAGAGCTCAAGACTTTCCTGGGCATCGAAAGAAAAAACGTCATCAACGTAATGTAGAAGGTCAGGAATACTTTTCTCATAAATGGCAATCCAAAGGACAAGCACATAAAATGTGCACCAAATTGCGCCTGAGGCATGGTTCCCAAAAACACAACATCGATCGACATGAAATTCGCCATTGATTAACGTCGCCTGTCTTGTTTGCCATCTAGGATGGCACAGCAAAAGTCTATAAGCCGAACTAGCATCTGACTTAAACAACCATGCCGGCGATCGACCAAAACTTGCGTGAAAGGCAAGCAATTGTTTTCCCAAATCTTGGAGATTGTCAGGCCTGAAAGACCCATCTTCTGGGGCAATCGCTGCATTCAAGGAAAAACTACCAGCGGTGTGATTGTTGACGAGACGAAATTTGGACGATCCCGGCTTAGGAACTGCGAAACAAGGCTGCGCGACCATCCCTGGGAGCAAAGATGAGCCGAACGATGAAGAATAATGGCCTAACGACATCTCGACATCACGTTGAGTCCTCATAAACGTCTTTTTCTCCTTGTCTTTTTCCTCCACTTGACGCAGGTTGTCGTGCCCCCTCTTTGATGAGATCAGTAAACCCGGCTGTGCGCATGGCCAGAAACCTGATCGAAAACCCGACACCACTGACTCTACCAGCTTGCGATTCGGGTGATGCTGCAATAATTTGTCAAGCCTATCCGGTTTCACAGGCGTTACAATCTTGAAAAGATCCGGATTTTCCTCAATCGTTTTGGATACCAAAATGTGAACAAAGTCATCAACAGGAACAGACGGAAGAGGTTCCCAAAAAAGTGTGGACGTTACAGAAGGAGTGATTGGATCTTCCTTTCCCCAAATGAAACCCCTGAGATATCGCGGGTTTCTTATCACGGCCTTCCATTCTTCAATTCTTTTCTGTCTTTTTGACATCTTTCGTAGGGCAAGCGGACCTTCGGTGTTCTCCCTCACACTTGTCGCATACATGTCGGTATCGGCAATTGTAGTGGGGAATGCCTGCATTGAAACGTCTACAAATTTCCCCATCGACTTTACCTTGCTTCCAAAAAGCTCCTTCCGCTCCCTTTCCTCCGCTTCCGCCTCTGTAGAAGAAAGGGTGGCATGACTCAACGTCGTTGAGGGTAAGTCTTGCATCCTCGGCCAGTCTTTTTCGGAACATGACATCGAAGTCGATGACAGATTGTTCTTTGTAGGGTCCCCCGCTCTCGAAAAAGTCACGGATATATTCCTTGTAGGTACGTAATTCCCCTTTCCGGTGCGAGTAGATGTATATGACTGCGTCCGCATATGCATCAAAGGCTGTGATCCATGCCCCTTGTCCATGGATGGCCTTCTTAGATCCGGCTTGGTTGTAAATAAACTTGAAGGGTCCGGATTCGTGTACAACTTCTTCTTCGGGGGCTCTGTCGACTCGGATCGCATGGACCTTATTGAAGTCGACGTATTTGTTGAGCAAGACTGCTTCCCAGAGAGACTCCGGGAATCGGGGCTTCTTAAGTTGTCCTTTGAGCCTTCGTAAGGCCTTTTTCTTATGTTCCAGGAAATATTCCCGAATCTTATTGGTTCGCATCGCCAGGGGAAGGTTTCGGTAATTCCTGTGATGATCTGACCTTTTGGTGCCAGCAAAGGTAACATCTGCG